GAATAAAAAAAGACTCAACATAATAGCATATTGAAACTTCTTGAATGCAATAATGATGCATATTTGGTTTAATTCTCCAACATCATCCCACTCTTAATCCGGAGAATTATGTGGTTGTAGCACTTTACTATGGCTGGTTCCGGTTGGTTTTCATCAAGGCAGGCCAAAGCTCTTGGACTTACCTCAAGGATGGATGTTTATATGGTGATGTTATATTCTATAAAAATCAGTATACACAGTTAGACAACTTGGAGCGATTTGGTCATTTGGTGTTTGTAGCAGTGATATTAAAAACTCTTCACCGCTAAAGCTACTCACACATCCAGAGCCATTCCAAGATTATGGTTTTCATGCATATCTTGTGGAATCAACTAAGGGAGACTTGTTGCATATCCTAAGAATTTATGCGCTAACGGACGGTTTTTTTAAGCATAATAATAGGCGTACTACGGGCTTTGAGGTTTACAAGTGGGTGTTCGACGATGAAGATGGATCTATTAGGCACAAGGTTGAGTTGAAAAGCATTGGAGACGCGGTTCTGTTTGTGGGCGACAATGATTCAATCTCTGTTTTAGCTTCAAAGTTTCTTGGATGCTAGTCAAATTCCATATATTACACTGATGATTACATATCAGGTTATCCTACATTCAATGGTGACCAAAGATATGATATGCATATGGGTATCTTCAACTTGGAGGACGGAACTATCACACAACCTTACCCTCTATGCACCAATTCTCAAAGAGCTATTTGGGTTGTGCCACCCTTTCATGGACTATGTTAGCTTCTAGTTCATCTTACATTTCATGGCTTGTGTTGACGTGAGTCTCCTAATTAATCAAGGAGATTTACTTCCTTGATTAATTAAGGGATTTACTTTCCTATTTTTTATATAAGTGATAAATCATTGTACAATTAGGAGATACTTTCCTAATTTTTTACTGTATCTAATTCCTTGTAAGACCCTTATGTAAACTTCCATATATACCTCCTTATGGAGAAGAATAAAACTAAACCTAATACATTCAAACCATATTCATATTTTAGCAGCTTGTCCCTCAATTAGTTACAATGTTTTCGAAGGTTTCTCCTTTATTTATGTGTTGTATAATTATAACTCTTTGCTTTAAGTGTTGTTTGATGGACTATGTTGGCTTCTAATTCATCTTACAATTAATAGAAGTTGTGTTTTTGGAATTTTAATTTAAATGAGGGATAAGCTAATGCATTTTTAAAGGTTTTAGCTAATTCACATATATAAACCTTGTATGTTTAAATGTTTTCAAAAGCTGTTTGATGCATTCTCATATCTTGAAAATACAAATTCATTTTTCAAAAACTATTCGAAGGAACGTCACGAAATGAGCTCTAAGTATATGAGTTCAACCTGAAATTGGTTATAACAGCCAACACACCACCACCCGCTTCGCATTTGTTTTTATCTAATTGTCCTTGTTCACCCGTTCACGTTTACTCCTATGATGGAAAGGCAAAGTTCCCTACTGCCTTGAGAACCATAGACTGGTCAACAAGTCAGCTTTCTTTGGTGTGCGAGCGTGCCACTGCTAGTAATAAAAATTCTAGCAGACTTAGTTTCGAATGGATAACTTGCGCCCCAAGTTACTGATTTCTGCAAACAA